GAGCGGGAGAGGCCCGAGGGCGAGCGGGGAGCGGGCGGGCCTGAGGAGTGCTGCCGTTCAGCTTCGCTTTTTAACACAGCTTTCTTACTGACCCCGTTTCTGGAGAAATGAAGGCTGCTCAGGTACGAAGCTGACATGTATTTGGGCCGGTAAGATAATTCCTCTAAGAGCCCTTTCTGCCTGTAGCAGTTTGCATCTGCTCTCCAAAGCCTGCGTGCCTTTTAGTCCTGTTACCGCGTTGCTGCTCACTCAGAAGCTGCCCGGTAGCTTCCTTTCATCCCTTCGTGCCTCTTGCCCCTCCTCAGCACTAGTACTGCAGAGATACAGGTGTTCAACCCCTCCTGATGTATTTTTTTCACGAGAGAGAAACCGTAAGTTAAGCCCTGCAGATATTTCAGCTTTCCTTCTCCGATAGAGTCACTTTCACTGTTAAAGAACTGCCACCAGCTGCTGCAGTTGCTGAGGCAATAGGCAGTAATAGGAAGAGCCAGCTGGGAGGTTTAACCTAGTGTGGGTTTCTTCTGACACGGCCTTCGAACGAAGTTCTTGGTTACAGCAGGAGCAAGTACAGTGTTTCTTGCAAAAGCTGACAGCTCTAAGGTTTGGCTGAGTATGTTGGAACAAATGGTTGCATTGTTGCTGAAGACAAATGCAGTTACGAGTCTGATTCCTCAACTGATTAATCTTAAGAAAGTAATTTTAAATAAGGGCTTTTTTTTGCCTTTGTTTTTGGGCTTTGTTATATGATGTTTTTAAGGCTTTCCTGAACAACTGAAGAGGTTACAAACATGTTTGGTATTAACAAAGGCAGAATTCCTTATGATGTTAGTTATGAAAACCAAATTACTTGAGTCCAAAGACATAAGAACTAACAATTGTGTAACTCTATTATAAAGTGTCACACTTCACACCCACAGAAGCTGAAGAAGACTGAAGCCACGTTTCCAGGCATTGTAAATAAGTTGTCAAGGTGTAGTGAGTTCTTGTGTCCTGGCTTATTTTAAAGAATAAATGCATTTATTTCAGTAGGTACCTTAAAATAGTGCTCTGTTGTGGATGTGGGGTGGGGTGGGTAAAATTAAAGCATTCCTAAGGCTGTCTAGGTACCCCATAGCCAAATAGCATCAACAAGGAAAGCCATAAGTTTTGGCATAGGTGTTCTGTCAGGACCATAGAAGTTCTGTATTGAAAGAGAAAGTATGTGTGAAAGAATATCAATATTCTCAGGTGCAGAAATCAACAGTAAGCATAAAATATGAGCTGGCCAGATTGGGCAGGTCTGATTGCTGCCCTTCGTGGAGAAGCATGGAACAGTACTGGCGTGTAAACAGGATTTCCTTCCACCAGGAGGTTGGGCACAGTCAGCAGAAGCTAGTTTTCAGGTTTTCTTGTTCTACGTTTGTTAAAGTATTGCTGTAGTTGTCAAGTGTAATTAAAATTCCCTCAAAGCAAAGTTTCTTACGAGTCAGGAGACTATTTCTAAACTATTTAGGAGCCTGACTAGGGATATTTTCTGTTCTTCCCAATCAAAGCCTGCTCAGAAATAAGCCTTCTGTTTTTATCATGGGTCAGATGCACAGCTTGTGCTAATTAACATATCTGCACTTAGATACAGCCTTACACAGAAGCAGCTATACAACAAAGACTAGCTTGGTTTGTCAGATTACATGACAAATGTGTGAACATACTTGTAGGGGTCCCAGAATGATTTTATGTCTTTCTGGGGATGGCATAATGCAAGTAGATTGATTCTTCTACCACCTGTGTTTCCAGGAAGAGCAATATTGAAGGTGACAAAATTTAATTGATTTCCCATAAAACCTAAGTTTTTCTCGTGGGATCTCAAGTTGATGAAAAGTAATTATAATTTCATGAATGAGAATTCTATTTGTTAAGAGATGTCATGCCACATCTGGCATAGAATATCTGCAGCACCAACCAGTTTTGTTTTGGTTTTTAAAGGAAGCTTTCAGTAAAAGAAGTGAAGCAACTGTAGTTGTCTGTAGCTGGGAAACTGATGACTCAGACCCTATTCATGCTGTTGAAAGACTGTTTTATGAGACCCATCAGAGCTGTGGGTGGACCTGGAGAGGAGTTTGAAGGCAGACTTCATATGCAGTGATGCCTACAGCGCTGTCTGAGGATTGTCCCATCATACACCACTAATGGCATATCCTTTTGGAGGTTTTCTTTAATCTTTGGGTGGTGAGGCTGCAGAAAAGATCAGGGCAGGGAATTTCACCATTTCTTTTATCTAAGGAGGTGTACCATCAGGTCAAAAAAGAACTGCTGAAGCAGCACTCTGCCTTACAGGGGGAAAGAAAGTATTGGAGTTTGCTTTGACCCTGTGTGTAACCATTTGTAACTAGTGACATTTTCCCATCAATAACAAAAGGGTATATTCCAAACTTGATGAACAAGACTGTAGCTGCATAGCTCCCATGAATGCTAATAGGAATACAGCCTTTCTCCGTCCCCGTGTAAGTTACTTTGCATATCCTAATAGTGCATTCTCAATGAGCAACAGGGTCAGTGTTAATCACTCCATGGCATTCCAAGAGCAACTACAAGGATCTCTACCACAGTCCCCTTGGTCATGTTATATCTAGTGCGGCTTGATCAGAGCTAGGAATGTAAGTATACACTTAGGAATATTAAAAAAAATATTAAGGAATTAATAAAAAGGAACTATGAAGAAGATGTTGGAGGGCTGATATAACTTGTTAGTCATCTTTATTAAAAAAAAAAAAAAAGCAACATATTCTTTCTGTCTGGAAATTACATACATGTCATGTACCACCACTGTTTTTGTAGTCTTTAGGTCATTCTGTGATTCAGGACCATAGGGCTAGATTTACACTTAGATAGCTTGTGCCAAGTACCTATGTGTGGTTTAGGTACTTGAATGACATGATAAGCTATGACTCATTAAAAGATTCACACAGAAATAGATATACAGCCTTTGTCTGTCCTCAGCTTCCCTGCTTGGTACTTGGGAATGGAACTAAAATTGTAGGAAATAGTAATGTTGAGGTAGAACTGCAGCTCTAATGAAGTCTGAATGAAGTGTGAAGTTATTAAGCAATGTCTGACAGCAAAATATGTCAGGTGCAGTAAGAGGAGCTATTTAAGAAGTATAAAAGTATGCAGGAAGCAATTAATGCTAATCTGGAGACACTTGCCGAGTAGTCTGTTCTCCAGTGGAAATATTTGCATGTATATATTTAAGTATGAGTATTATAATCCTCAAAATTAGCAGAAACCCTTTTTAATTAGCAAGGTTCCAACAGTTTCACTCTAAAATGGGTTACTAACAACCACAAAATTTAATTATTTAATTTAGTTCTGTTAAGGTTTTAATGAGAATAAGCTAAACTTTACCTTCGGATTGAGACTGTTATTTCCCGATTTAATATTTCATGTATTTGCTGCTTCCCTTTGGTTACTTGATATGAAATGGTTACTTTTTAATTAATTTTATTTAAATTTAATGTGTATTCATAATAGAAATATGCTGTGTGCCTTCCATAACACAGCCAGTAGGGTGCATTGGTTATTTGATATTTAGTTTTCAAAAATCTTTCAAGAACTGCATAGTTGCTTCTCATTTACATTTTTGCTCAGCTCAGGTATGCTCTGGATAAAGGAAATCTACCAGTGAAACCATTTGGTTTTGGTAAAGACAGTGTGCAAAAATGGATTATAGAGTCTTGAAAATTTATTTAAAATTATTTTCAGACAGATTTTGCTATAAGATTCTGAATTCCTACTTGTATAGCTGTATTGATGAATAAGATCTTCTGCAGTGTGATAACTAGGTTTTGGTTTTTTGGTTTTTTAAAGATTGTCATAGAGTCCTTCCAGTTTTAGCTGGATAAATCTGTAGTTAAGTCCAGGAATAGCTGTTACTTTTTATATGCTTTCTCTGGCTAAATTAAGGAACCCTTTCAGTGCTCAGCTTGTTTTTTCTCTGAGGGAATTTTTGCACTGTAGTCAAGTTAGTCAAGTCTTTCCTTCTCTTTCTTTTTCTTTTTTTTTTTTTTTTTTTTTTTTTTGTAACGAATTAAACATTCAGAGCTTGTTAACTTTTGCTCTCTGCTTTTTCTAGCTCTTGGATTTTGGAAATTTGATTTGTTTGCATCCTCTGTGGGTTTCAGCATTGTTGTTAAAATGTGGGCACCAGAACTTTATGCAGTTTCAAATATCCACCACGTTAGTACTACATACAAAGGTAAATAATTCCCCAACCCCAGCTACTTGTCACTACTCAACTGTTGATGTATCTGAAGATCACAGTTAACTGGTTTTTTCCCACTCACAGCATCACATTGGACATTTACGGTGAGCTGCTGCTCTGCTAGAGCTTCTTCAGATGAAAATGATCCAGAAGATGATCTGTAAGGTATAACCTATATTTTAGCTTTGGAAGTATTCAGCAGTGTTAACATGATTTGTTTTAATGGAACTAGCTTACCAAGTGAGCCATGTCACTGTAATACTGTCATTTCCTGTCTGCTAAAATTGACATCACAAACATCTAGTTGTGATTTTTTTATATGTACAGGGAGTGTTGAGGAGCCGCAGGTCTATTTGTAACCCTTGCTAAACCACATAATGGAAGTATTTTCATTTGTTTATAATGAAATTTGTATTTTGTTCATAATCTCTTACTGGAGAATGCTTTTTGAGCTCTGCCAGCTAGTTTTTAATCCATTTTATGCCATTGCACTCCCTACTAGCATTGCACTCTGCCTTTACCATATGTTAAGGTGATTAAAAAGTAAGTCCTCCACTATTCAGTTCTGTTATACCAGCACAATTACTGTCATTCAGACTCATAATCTTTCAGAATTAAACCAAATTGCATAAGATCACACACTTTTTCCATTCATTTCCTTTACCTCCTTATAAGTAAAATCCCACATCAGCCTTTACATTGTTTTGGCTAGGTTTGCTGTCAGGCTGCATTTATAATCTGAACTTCATTTTGTATCTTTGGAATTGACTGTTACGGCCACTTAAAATATGGTTATTAAACTTGTCATTGTCTTGCCAACCCAGTGGTTTTCCCTTATGTCTTTAATCTTCTATAACTTATGCAATGTAATTTAAAATGCGTGCTCTCTGGTTCCATTTTCCATAACCTGTCCACTGATTTAATTTTTATTTTGTTTCTGATTGAGTATTTACTATACTATTGGACCAAGACGCATGCTTGTTCAAATTTTTTCCTTGCTTGTCACTGTAGTAAAGTCGTCTTCTTAATTTTGGAGATAAAAAGCTTAAGGATTTTGATAGTTTCCCCGTCCCAGGAAGGAGTTGAATGTTATATGGTATTTTCCAAGGATTGGGATTTCAGCTGTGGCAGAAGCTTTCTTTGGCCTCCTTGGTACTGATAATTTGCCCTTACTGGTGGCACTGCTATGGAGGTGTGGCTGCATCTTTATTGATACAAACCCTTCCTTGATTACAAACCCACTGGCACGCAAGGATGTATTCTGTATTGGTACATTACTAGCTGTCAAACAGTCCTTTGATATCATTCCGCTGAGTGGGAAAGTGCCCTTACACAGGCCCTGGTACCCCCGTGCAATCCCATCGACTGTGCAACCTCTTCTTCCATCCTTCTCCTGTTCTTCCGACCTGAAGCCTACAGGCAAGCGAGGGAGTTGTCCAGAACATCCTAGCAGTACTCTCATCCTTTGTTTTAAGCTCCTTGGGGGTGGAATAGTGGGGTATGCTGAACAGCATTTGCAAAAGGGACAGGCAATAGTAGAAGGGAATGGGAGCAGGAGCAGGGAGATTATTTCGTGGTAAAGGATCTGATTTGGAGTCTTGAAAAACTTTAAATATATGAGCAGGTATGGCATTCACAGCCTGCTATATTGATAAATATTGGAGCTGTGTATTTAAGGTACCTTCAGTTTAAGGTGCCTATAATGTTATGCAAGTGTAAAACTGTTGAGTTAATACTCTCTGCTCCTGATATTAGTAAAAGTAATGGTACTGTAATTGTAAACATCTTGCTATGCTTGCTTTCGAATTTTCAGTATAAAGTTGATTTTAAAAATATGAAAAATTTTTCATAAACTACAGCTATGTGTAATCTGTAATACTTATCAGTATAGAGCTCAAGAAATGGTGGTTTTTCCTAAAAAGCATGCTGGTTTCGGTTTTGCCTTTACCTCTGTCATTTTTAGATAACTTAGCATATTTTAACAAATATGAAAGTACTTGTAAAATACACAAGCCCATTCAAGTTTTTAAGCATTTAAAATATTATTACAAATACCCAGTCTGTGACATAAAACTCTTTGACGGGAGCATTTTCATGAATTTTAAAACAGATTCCCTCCACCCCTGTTTTCTTGCAACTTTTGTCTTTCTATTCGATTCAGCTTCTATATGGGACAGCAGAATGTGTCAGAAACCTTTAAATTCTTTCACCGACTATCGGGCATGTTAATGCAAATACTTTAGGAGTAATCCCTCCATAGGGAGAGACAGTAACATAGCCCACACAACATCAGTAAAGTGTTTACAAGGTATTAATATGCCTGCTGTGACAAGATGTATTTAATGGGAAGCAACAAGGAATTTGTTTTATTAGTTTTCCTCCACCCTCTAGTAATAAATCTTAAAAGCTTCAATATTGATTCAATGAAATGAATGGCTGAATCGTTCTGGAGAGGCTCTGACAAGTGGACAAATGCTTCCATGGTTACATTGTGCTATGCAGTATGGTTACTGAGCTTTGGTGGTTTCCTCCCTCTGCCATTGAAGTAAAATAACAAACCACAGGGAAGCACCACACATGGTGGGCATAAACTAGAAACAACTTTAAAAGATCAAGATAGTTGATCTTACACAGATTTTAAATAATATGGGGTTTATTGATTTATACTGTATACCTTAAACATGCATTTCAGTACTTTCTCCTTCGTATATCATTTTCTCATGGAACATTTTTATTTCTTGTCTGGACCACCTCTCACTTTTGATTTGCAATGCCATAAATTAAAAGGCTGTGTGCACATATATTTCATAATAGTGTTACATGGGTTATGTTTTTCTAGGAATATTTTTATATCAAGGGATGTTACTGCCTCAATGTGGGCCTCTGCAATACCTAGGTAATGAATAACAAATCATGTATAGAGCTTTTATGTGCAGTTGTTTTAGGGTGCTTTGCGTTATAACAGAATTAAGTGGTTTGATTTTCCATCTCCTTGCATCTAATGCACTCAAATTTCAGGTGTCAGAGGGAAGAGGGAGATAATCAACATATAACTTCATAGAGTGACATTTAAAAAAATAGTAGTACAAAGTAATGGCATGCAGTTATTTCATCAGCTTAAAAATGTTGCAGATCAAGCATTACATTAAGAAAAGGAAATCCTGAAGGCCTTAGATTTTGTTCAGGACAAAGTATAAATGAAACTGAACGCAGATGTGTTGAGAGTAGTTGCATCTTTTCCCCTTGCAGACCAACTCTGAAGAGAACGCATGCTATCCTCTGTACCAGAAGCTGTTAGGTTGTTTGGTTTTTTTCTTCTACATGCTTGGCAGTCCCCAGGATCACTATCTCAGCATCAGAATGCTAAAATATTGTGGTGCCTCTTTGTAGATGCAATTTTACATCAAGGATGAATGCCAGGATTCCCCACAGCCAGGAAAATAAACTCATAAACATAGAGGATAGTTAGTTCTGAGACAGAAATTCTGGCCTTACAGCTTTCCATTGGAAGCTTACATTTATTGTGAGTACTTAATTTCACATTTACTCAAGTAATATCCCTCTGATCTCGGGGAAAAGTAAGCAACAAATGAGTAAACACTTCAGTTTCACTTAAAGAATTTCAGAAAAGAGAAGAGTCAGCTCTTCGATAGAGAAACATAAGTTATTTGTGTTTCCACGTAGTTTTTTTGTTCATTCAAAAGGAAGCAAACAAAATACCTATCTGTGAATTGGGAAAGCAAGTGAAGTTGTATGCAGCAGCTGGAACCCTTTTGCTTTTATCTTTATTAGCCTGAAATACTTTTTGAGGACTTAGAAATTAAGAGCAATCTAGATGCAAGAGAATATGGAGAGTTTTTAATATTTTTACTATGTTTTACCTTTAGGAAAATGCACTTTTGGTAAGTGTTCTTTTTGAATTTACAGTCTAGTGCTTGACATGCTCTGAAGTTGTGTGTTTTGGTGGAAGTTTTACAAGAGATTGTCTGATTTGCTGCATACTGTCTACATTGTCAGTGACATGCTGCAAAGAAGAGCTGGACACGCTTGATTGGAAGAAACAAGACTGCAGCTTCGTTTAGCAGTGATAACTGCACAAGAGGAGCAGGCAGACAATTCTTGCCAAGTTCTCATCTTGCTGTTTCTCTGTGTGACCTACAAGCCAGTAAGCACCCACTGTGGTTTGAAAGAAGCCACTGAACATTGTAAGACCAAACCATCTCTTCAGAGACGGCATTCTTTTTGTTGTCATTATAATGACAAAAAATGACATAAATCATGTCATAATTGCACACTGGAGCTTGATCAACCAAATCTGAGATGCACTAAGTTGAAACAAAGAAGTTATTTTCTCATTAATTTGTTCAGTTTTTTACACCTCAACATACTTAAATTAACGTTTTCTAAAAGCAATCTCATTTTTTTCTGAAAGTCTTGTCAAATGTGTAGCTAAGTTCAGTAATAAAAAGGTTGTCATTATATAAATAGCATTTCTGCCATAATGGGTGTTAAAATATAGCAACCTCCCATGAACAGATGCCAGGGAACATTGACTTTTTTCCTGATAATAGGAATACTACAATTTTTTTTTTCATTAAAAGCTCCTGTTAAATACTAACATCAGTATGCTCTATTAGTATACAAGTAAGGAACTGTACCGTAAAAAAGGTTAACCTTTGCCAAGTTGATCACAGGAAGCATAAACAAATTAATGTTTGTCCCTGGAAAAAAGCACAATCTTCTTGGAAGTTCTGATTTTTCAGTTTCTTAAATCCTGGACATCTCTGAAAAATAGAGGATCAAAACCTGAATTTATCCAGATCCATCTGCACATCAACCAGTCTGGCATAAACTGCTGGGTCAGAAGCATAATACTCAAGTTTTGTCATTCACTCTTCTCAGATTATTAGTACTGTTTGTATTTGCTTTGTGCTTTTCCTTGGGTGTGTTTGTTTATTCATCAGGAAAGTATGCAGTAAAATCAAGATTTTAAT